TGCCACCACTGCCACCACTGCCACTGCCACACCCACTGCTGCTGCTACTGCTACTGATCTTGCTTAATTGCTACGCGACTGCCGCTGGGACCACCACCACTACCACCACAATCACCGCCAACACCAGTACTAAAAAATGCTATCACTGCTGCCTGTGAGGAGAGTCGAAAATGGCCGAGAAGCAAAGCCCACGTAGAGAAGGGCCACAAGCGGCAGGACGAACTGAGATTCGGCATTTTGTTTAAAGGGACTCGGATGCGGGCCAGAACGGTTTGTTCGGATCAGTTTGTCAGGGCTTCGCTTTGATCAGGTCGTTTTGGGCATGAAGGATGGGATCCAGCTCTGATAGTCAGCGGTCAAGACCGGGATTCACAGAGGGAAAAGTGGATCAACTGGCTCTCCTATCCTTCTTGACCTTCCCACAGCCTCGACCACTTGAACAAGATCTGTTCCGGTCATACGGTTCATCTGTTCAACCAGTGCATTGATCAGTCAGGCTATCGTCCTAAAACCTGGTTCGGAGCGACAGAGCTGAGCTCATGAATGTGCAAGCCAGGCGCCAGCAGCGAGACAGAGATGATGGCCGGGATGGTAGGGTTATTCCAGTCCCAGGCGTCATAGAGCGGGCACTCCTTCCAGAAAGGCTTGGGGTTTAGGACTAGTGACTAGTGGCGACCCAAGGCGGTAAACTTCCAGAGCAAAAGCCGAGTGGAAACAGCCCTCACAATACCAGTAGCAGCAGGAGCAGAAGCAGAAGCACAAAGCAGCATGAGTAGTAGGTGTAGTAGTCGTCATAGTGGTGGCTGCAGCGGAATGGTAGTGGTGTCGCAGTCGGCGTCGTCGTCCTCGTCCTCGTCGTCGTCGTAGTCGAAGCCGTTTCACCGTTGCACCATCACGTCACAGCCAGCATCACCATCATCAGCACCATCATCGTCATCATCGTCATCATTGTCATCCTTGTCATCATGATCATCATCAGCAGCTGCATCCTCATCATCATCCGCAGAATCACGTCATTACATCGTCATTGCTGCACACTGTAACCATGGCTATCTCCACAGAATCCAGCAGAACATGCCAGAACCCCCAAAGGATCTGCTCCTGGCCTGCCGCGTGGGATACTGATCACACTCTTTCGGTGTGCCGATCTGTGCCAAGAAGTGGATGATGGTCCACGCCACGTAGCCGAACCCGAAGAGCCTTGACTCTCTGGCTTTGAAATGAAGGCTTCGAAAGCCCCAGCTTCGAGCGGCTTGAAGTTCGAAGTCGGATGAAACTTAGGGGGACGAGGGAGTGGCGGCGATCGAACACTTCAGCTTGGCAATGCTCGGCATATACACAAGCTGTGACAACCTGAGTCAGAGCCGGCTTTCTCTTCGTCTTCTTTTGAAGCCATCGGAGCTGGCTAGAACAGCGCATCCAAGTGGCAGTGACCAACCGACCCTGTTCATCGAGAAGGGGAGACGGCTGAGAAACAAGCCTCAGCTGGGACATGCTGCCGCTGTCAATGTCTTCCCATTGTAGCTACTGGCTGTTGGCTGTTTCGTGGGGCCCCCAAGGAAGCGACTTTGGACTTGTTGGTCTCCCCGGGCTCGGAGAAGTATGCAAGAACAGGTTCGAGATCCCAGAGCTCAACTGTGCAAAGTTCGATACCATCCTCCACACCATTATCCTCAACGTCTTCATCACCTTCACCACCTTGTTGAAAATGACCTCTAGCAAGCAGAAACACTACGAATATCTTTATCATCACGACTTGCATAAGCGTCACCTTCTTATGGTAGCGAAACACGCTAAAACTTGGTGGCCCAAGTTTCTGCAAGCAACTGCATCATAAACGAGGCTAAACCGCAAATCATAAATCCTGAAACCCGAAACCCTCTGATTTGCTACGGAGTACTGCCTAAGGTCGGCTCTCAAAGATCGCCAGCTGTAGAGCTTCAGTTTGCTTTTGATTACCGCCAAGAACACTCGAGGTGTCCCCGTTTTTGCCGAGACTCTGTGCAGCAGCGGGTCCAAGGTTACACTTGTCGGCTTGTTTTTGAGACGGTTGTGATTTGCAAGGCCAAGCCAAGCCACCGACGATGAGAAGAAAGAAATTCCTGGGTCGCGGCGCGGGTCTGAGCCCTACGTCCCAAACTTCCCTTAGACGGGCGGAGCAATGTCCACTATTGTTCTCAATGCCGCACGGCCGACATGCTACCTCTTCGACGCGCCGCTGGAGGCTGTGAGTTTTGTGCTCTTCCTGTCGGTTGCAAGTTTTCTCCCCCCCCGGCTGCCATCAGTCCTTCCACCACCGGTGGCTGAATTTAAAAAGCATCAGGGGCTCGATTGGACTTGGGGGCAGGAGGCGGCCCTCGGCAAGTTGTGACATATGCCGGAAGCAGCACCTTCCATGTGCTGTGGAGTGGAGCGCTCTGTGATTTGCTTTTCGGTTTCGGGATCCTTCGGGTCGCCTCGAACTGCCTCTTAACACGAAGCCGCGAAGCATCCCATCTTCATTCCAAGCTCAGAAGCCCAGAATTCAAAACCCTGAAGGCCCTAAAAGCCTCCCAGCCAGTGCAGACCACAGCGGCAGCAAGTGAACGAAGATGGACCTCAGGGAAGTGCAGATCCATCATCTTATGCCCAGCCAAGGACAACCACCCAACTACCAGAAAGGCCAGTTTCAGTGGAACACCACCACAACCAATCACCAACCAGCAACCACCAACCCACAACCAAAAAAACAGAACCGACAACCAACAACCACCAACCAAGACAACCGGGGCCTAAGAGGGGGGGTTGGAAGCAGCTCTTCATGTTGACACGCATCAGTCATATACGGTTTCTACAAGGAGCACGGAGCACGTTGGGGCTACAAACGGACATGAAGAAGATATACACCTGGGTGTAAGAAATGTGCCGGGATTACATGCAGATTAACTATTCTTTTTGGTGTTCATTACCCGAAATGTTTCCTGGGGCGGACCCTGTCAGAAGGGCGTTTGGTGGTTCGAGAGATGCACTGGGTGCTTGAGATTGTCAAGAACAGCAAAGGATATTGTAAGATTGGAAGCGCCTGAACATGATTGGAGTTGATAGGGAAGGTTCGGAGGACATGAAAGGGGCCACTGATGGTTATTCACGTGCATGGGTTGTTTGACACCGCCACCTTATCACGTAATCTCACCCAAAACACCTTGTTGTCACCTGGAAGAAAGCAGAGCAGCTCTCTTACAGCGCGACGTGCCTTTTCCCGACAACAAGGAGTGTTGGGCGGTGTTGGGCTTACGTAGCTGTTGCGGGGTTGGGGTTTGGGTTTGGGGGCTTTACGGGTTCTTGCGGTGTTAGGGCTTAGTTTGGGAAGCTCGCTAATGCTTGGATCCGAGGCGCAGGTAGTCAGGAACCTCCCGGACGCCGCTCACCACATCCCAGATAGGCCTCACCAGGGTCCAATACCTGGGGACGGAAGGTCCAGTGCTTCTCTGGGCCAACACGAACCATGCCTTGTACATCGCGGATTAGATGCTGTTAGTCTCGGCCTATCCTCTGTAACTGTCGGTATGCTTGTGTGTGAGGATCGCGGATACGCCATCAAACTTGTTCTCGTGTGCTTCTAGATTGTTGGAAGCAGGATACTAGCAAGGTGACTCATGCTAGTGACTGGATGCTGCTAGGCCGATAGTGACTGCAGTTAACACAATGAACGGAATGCCCGGTTTCGTAGTTCGCACGCTTGCATGTGCAAACCTCGCATGCCTCTGCAAGTAGAAACACTTCTATGCACAATGCACAGCCTTGACAGTTCCCGGCGTACGTGATGCTAACTGAATGTGGAGTTTGTGATTGGGCAGGCATCACTCGAGTCAAAGATGCTCGATGTATTTCTTGGAGTGATGAACTAGTGCTCAAGCCATACTCAAGCTATTGAACCTTCTGCCAAAAAACAGCCTGGCCTATGCTGCCACTTGCAAACCACACGATTGTACTGGGTTTGCTCCGCTTACTGGAGTTTGTTGTGAGGAAAGGCCAAACGACCAGTGTCATATCAAGACGGGTCAGAAGGATAATGCCCTCAGTCTTGCATCTCGCGGCCTTTTTCGCACAGTTGCCTAGGACTTCAATAGCTGAAAGAACATCAGCACCCAGGGGTCTCAAGACAGACCGTTTCACCACTCTGACTGACATTGCTAAGTTATGCCGCGCTGTAATGGGTGATGGTCATTGTGTTGATTTGCGGCAGAGCCCCGCTCTTTCTGTGTTGTTGCCAGTATCAGTATCAAGCCACCACCTGCAACATCACACTATTGAATTCTGATGATTACAATTTTCATCATCTTCACAACCACCACGTCCACGACCACGACGGCGACGACCTGCACCACCGTTGCCTTAAGCCTGGGTCAAGTCTCGTGCCGAGACCTCCCTTGCTGGCCAAGTCACAAGACCACCACCACCCTTGCAGCAAGGGCTTAGACCAGCTTCGAGGCCCAACAGCAACGAGCAGCAAAGACAAAAGGCGAAGAAGAAAGCGGGAGCCATAAACCTTAAGCCAGAATGGCAGGTTGTTGAGGCTACGATCGAGCAGAGATGCGCACATCCTTGGAACGCGCGAAAATCGAACATAGGACGTACTGGGTTCGGGGCTTCTAGAGTTCAGAAAGCAAGGCGTTCTGAGCCAGGAGGCAGGGACACCGGGAGCACGACCGCGTAGATCGCCATCTCCACGCGAACCAACGTGGGCAGCGTCGAGAGCCTCTCGATTGGCTCAAAATTAATATGAATATTAGCATTACTATTCGTATTACTACTAGTATCAATATTGATATTAGTCTTAAGAATCCCGTCGCATGTCCGGCGTGGCTCTGACTTCTAGGTTCCTGCTTGTTGCACACCGACTCTCTCATGGAGCCAGCACGAGTGCTACGGCCCTGTGCTTGTCTTCCAGTCTCCACTCCAAGCCCTGCTTGCAATGCAAGCACTCTAGGGTTTAGGGATTAGGGTTTAGGGTCTACGTAGACGTGGCTTAGAGAGTCAGTTTGTCTTGCAAGCCAAGAGGAGCGAAGGAAGCCATTGCACATTTTGGTTGGCCGGGGTGCCTTGGGGCCGACAAGTTCCGGTAGCCCTGAATAGCCAGAACCACGAGCAGGATCTCGCTGACGACCTTGAGGAGAACAAGACAAGATCACGTGAAGGGAAAAAAGGAAAATGTCGTCATCAATATATGTGTGTATATATATATATATAATATATATATTTAATTGTACATATACGTACATTTTTCATATATGATGGCATTAAGGAAGTTGTTCCTCCTCTTCTTGTTTGCTCGAGAGCTTCCTTGGTATCAGGTCTGATAAGACACTGCCGTGCCTCGGGACAGTCTCGGGACGATGGGCAGTGCGGGATCGTAGAAAAGGCGGCGCAATGCCAACTTGCGGCCCCATGGATTGTTTTGACATAAGTATATTGACTAGTTATATTGGACTACTAGAGTCGTTATGGCCAAGCAAAGGACAGAAGGAGCTATGATGACAAGAGAAGAAGTAAGGTGGAAACACCACGCCTCCACCCACACCGCGATGTGGGTCAGGTACGCCCAGTAGTACCATCCATCACCCTGCGGTAGCACAGCATGGTGGCTTGCTGTTCAGCTCCAGCCCTGTTTCTTATGGCTGTGGTTGGTTGTGGTCTGGTTCATGCTTCGAGTGTCGGCGGGTGCAACAACTAAACCGCTGGGGTCTTTGGAGGTGCCCCGCAATGGTGGAGCAGAAGAACATACCGAGATTTCGGTTTCCAGCGGGGGTTCCCCTGGCAGCGGCAGAGGCTCCTGCAAATCGGATTCCAGTACTTGGGGTGTTGAGTCGGGAGCCTGTTGGAAGGAAAGACCTCGCAATGCACCCAGCAATTCAAGCAGACTCGCAGCCTAGACCCTAAACCTCACTTCAAGTCAACCCGAACCCCTAAAGCCTGATCCCTCGCTCAACTAAACTCGCACCCCAAACTTTAAGCCCCAAACCCGCGGTGTGAAACCCTGTTAAAAACCGGAAAAAAACCCGCCAAAACCCAACTCGACCCGACGCCCTCAACCCCAAACCGTTTTCAACCTCCTCCAGGCGCCATATAATATGGGCCACCGCGTGGCCCAAGAAGGTGGCGGCAGAAATGAAGCGGAAGGCAAGAAAAGCCTGGGGCTTGGGGTTTATTGTCGAGGGTTTAGGATTCTTTTCTTTTGACACCTCTTTTCCTTCGACTGATAAGGTGTCCGGAATACCATGGGTTTGGGGTTTATGGAGGATCACCCCTCAAAACGACGAACGCTGCTGCGAGAACTCCCCAAGTTGCCGTTTTGCCGCGCTTGTACGATTTCCCACATGGCAACGGTAGCATGTCACTATGTTTTGCAATTCTGGTTCCGTCCCCAGCCCATGAGTGCAGAAGAACACGCAGGGGTCAAAACAGTGAAGGAGTGGAGAAAACTGATTAGGGGACAAAAAAAACTGGGCCTAAGTCTGTTGAAATCTGAAGTTGAGGTTGACACCTGGCGTGAAGGGTGTGGGTTCAGGAGGTCTTCACAAATTCATTCAACTCCAGTTAGTACCGATACTACAACTGCCCTGCCTACACCAGAATCCTCGCCGCAGCCCCAAGGATCGCAACCCGAAGATCCTCAGCCCTTCGCGGGCTTAGCTTAGAGGGTCCAGGCCGGAGGTGGCCTTCATAGCCCCGTGACTGTTGGGAGCCTCTTGCATATACCGACTCTGACCACCCTCTATACCCTCTCGCTGCACAAAATCAAGGCTCCCGCTCTAGAACCCGTCGAGCATCCACCGAAAGAAGCTCTCCGAACGTCAAGGATCCTCACCCCGGTCGCGCCTGTGGACTCATCGATTTCGAGGTCGCAAAGACCTCTCAAAGCAAGATGATGCTCAGCAACGGGCAGCACTCTACCAAGAAAGGCAGTTTCCCCAGGCGTCGGCCCGTGAAGTCGACCAATCCAGATGTGAAAGGGTGTTTCAATTTTTCTGAGTGGCGGCATGGGCACCTCCCTATGATGCCAGATTCACCCTTTGAGGAAGTTCGCCAGTCATCAAGCATCCGTCGCAAGTTGGAACCGAAAGCCGAGTCGTAAAGAAAGCCAAAGCCATGACCAAGGCAACCATGGAAGAAGGGGAGGGAGGGAGGCAAGGAACGAGCTGGCTGCCTCTTTCATCTAAACCCTAAACCCTAAACCCGCCTCGGGCCACTCGTGGGCCTCCCAGGGCGCGATGCCCGTCACAAAGACTTTCGTAGCCATGTTGCGACCCGAAGGGATGCCCTTTTTGGGGCTTCCGATCTTCCCAGGAAGGGCTCGGGGAGTTGAGCCAATGCTGCGAACATCTCGGATGCTTCGGGCGTCTTGGGCTCGTCAGGGCTTCAGTGGGCTTATGGTTCACATCTTTTTAGTGTTTGCTTGACTGTAAGGGGGTTCAGGGCTAGGGCACGGTACACTTGCCATTTTTCTGAGAGCTCACTGACTCCAGGTCCCGAAGTTGATGGCGACAATGGCACCCCAGTTTGCTAGACATGCTCCAACCCAGAGTCTTCTCCGCCCCGGTACTGAAAACCCCGCCGCCCGCTCTTCTTTTTCCCTGGTCGCGCCAGAGCAGGAGCTGCGATGGTAAGGCCTCGGCCAGCACCCGGGGGAAAATTTCGGAGCCGGGCCCTGCGCAGCCCTGAGGAGCTTGAAGCTTCGGAGATCCTTCGGCTCTTTCAGGGCTGGCCGAGATGGCTTGTAAAGAAGGCTGATATATTATACCATAACTATAATAGGGAACCCCGAAAACCCTATTCCAATTATCAAGGTTGCTCCGATTCCGATAACGTATGAATTTTGCGAACGCCGGTGGCCATGAACCCCGAAAGCTCCCTTGAGGACACCGCCAGTCTTCACCTCGGCACACCGCGTCTTCAGCCCGGCATTGGTCACTTGACTTATTCTGACGGTGGACGTACCCTGAGCTAAAAATGCCATCGAGACGTTAAGGTGATGCTTTCACCGTGCTAAAGTTTGCAACGGATTGCAGCTCCACAAAGCGTTGCAAGCATCCATACCAAATTCATATGCGCACCAGCACGATAACTGCTTGAACTGGCAGTTGCCAAGCTGGGTTGGGGACGCTGGCAAGCCTTCGAGCAGTAGGCCACTTGATGGCAACCTGCGCAACCTTAGCCGACAGCAAAACGCTAAAACGCAACAACTGAGGCGATGGTGGCTGCTTTGCATGGCCATGACGATTAATTACGATGACAATGACGGCGATGACAACGATGACGCCTATTAACGGCTGTTAGCCCATTAAGACGACGATTATGACGACGACGACGACGAGGAAGAGGAGGAGGAGGGCCACGATGCTGATGATGATGGTGATGATGAAGATGATGAAGATGATGATGATGATGATGATGATGATGATGATGATGCAGATGATGCTGATTCATGCCGATGCCGATGCTGATGCTGAAGATGATGCTGATGCTGGTCCTGATCCTGATGCTGATGCTGAAGCTGATGATGATGAAGATGATGGTGATGGTGATGACGATGATGATGATGATGATGAGGAGGAGGATGAGGATGAGGATGAGGATGATGCTGATGCTGATCCTGATCCTGATCCTGATCCTGATCCTGATGCTGATGCTGATGCTGATGGCGATGATGATGATGATGATGATGGTGATGGTGATGGTGATGATGATGATGAGGAGGAGGAGGAGGAGTAGGAGTAGGAGGAGGAGGAGGAGGAGGAGTAGGAGGAGGAGGAGGATGAAGGTGATGAAGGTGATGAAGGTGATGAAGGTGATGAACGTGATGAAGGTGATGAAGGTGATGATGGTGACGGTGATGGGTGGCGGGTGGTGGGTGGCGGGTGGTGGGTGGTGGGTGGTGGGTGGTGGGTGCTGGGTGGTGGGGTTGGTGATGGGGACGATGCCACGACACCGCCGGGTGATGAAGCATGCATGCATGCCCATCCAATGTCTCTCATCGTCTGAGGCCTGGGCGCAACACACCCGGGGGCAGTCCGCAACGGGCGCAAGGTGCGCCCGTGGGTAGAGGGTGTGAGGGCAGGGGCTGCCATTGAAGAGGATCCTTGCGGACGTTGACAGTTAGTTCATGGTTACGTACTGACGCACTGACTGATCTCTGACCTAGAACGTCGGGCTGGGCTAGCAGACCAGTCAATGACTGCCAGAAACAGCATGAAGCCCAAGAGAGTCAAGTCAATTAATCAAGGCGGATCCGCATGCATGTTGCCTGGATACATGCAAATACCTAACTATACTCCCATACCAAATGAGCATTGAGAAAGCAGCATCAGGCACATCGTCTCTCAAGCTTTTGTCCACAAAGCTCCTCGAACCAGCTCCACCAGGCTCGAGAGTAAAGGTTGGAGAAGTCCTTTTCGGGAAGCCCAGATCTCGGAGGAACTGAAAAGGGGCTTCGGATTTGGGGACAAAGATTTGAGTGGAACAGGCTTGTGGAGAATCAATTCACTCATGGTTCGGTTTGGGGCATCCAGAAATTACGGGAGCGTCCGAGTTTCCGTCGCCTCTAACTTCACGAGGGGCAACAGCCCCGGAGCGACCTCGAACACACACGTCCCGGTCCCTTCCCATGTATAGACGCCCACTCCTGCCGCGGGTCCTCCGGGCGTTCCGGACAGAGGACCTCCGGTGCTGCTGAGAGCGGCACGCCACGACCAAGATATTATAGTATATTATTATGGTATATTAGTATAGTATATTATTATAGTATATTATTAGAGTATATTATTATAGTATATTATTATAGTATATGATTATAGTATAGTATAGTATATTATTCTAAGTTGAACGGAAGTCTGCAAGACCACGGCAACAGAACCTCCAGTTCGAGGTGAGAAGCACGGCATCAGCTCCCTACTGACGGCTGAGTTCCTTGTCACCTGTCTTGGATTACCGGGAGCAAATGCGCTGTGACCGAGTTGGAAACTTTCATTGCACTGTGCCTGTATCCTTGTACTCTCGTGTTTCTACATTATCGATCTACAATGTTGCCTTCTAAGCCTACTACTGTACCCGCCACCTGCGACACACCCATCATCCTTTTTAGGTACGGAGTTCCCGGAGCACAAAAAGGGAACTAGCCGACCTGAGACTAAAGTGTCCAACCGTCCAACCGACCTGGTGCTATGGGTTGACACTGCTCCACAGCTCGACGGCTCACGGCTCACGGGAACTCTAGCCTACTTCCGCGGCCTGGAAGAAATCGAATCTGCATCCCGGCATCTGAATCCGATGTATCCGTTTGACAATCCGAAGCCCACCCTGGAGGGGAGCCCTGCCGCCAAAATCTCCACGTCGAGCACTTTGGCCTGCACAGGACCGTTTAGCAACGCATAACAGACCTCACAACCATCATCAGCTGTACCACGTGGCGCAACCATCGTCACCAGAGTCACCATCGTCACCACCACGACCGTCAAGCATCGGAACCACCATCATCAGAATCACTTGTAACTGTAGACCAATGCGAGATCGGGGGAGAATCAGAAAGGCCTGCTTCGCATAGAAATTGCAAGACTGTGCAATGACAAAACTGAGCCTTCGGAACCGAAGGGAGGGTCACGAAAAAGCTGACAGAATACGAGTGGGCTGAACGTAAAAAAATGCCATTTTGAGGTAGTTCAGTGAGAGCTGCACGTGCAACTGCCAAAACCAATGTGTAGAAGTCCAAACCCTTCACAGCACCTCCGACGGGAATGCGATGAAAGCCCGCTCGCCCGTGAGCATGGCGCCTGGCTTTGGCATCTTGGGGCACAAGAGATGTTTAGTTTGGAAGCCTCCAATCAGGGTTAAGAATTCCGGGTACTACTACAAAACTGTGGTAAGCGATATTACATAGCAGGTGTGCCTTGCCCTGGACACGAAAACTCAAAACAGGGGCTTGGTCTTTCGCTGTCGCAACAGCGCGATGCAGGTGATGACTTACAGAACCTCTTCAGACTGCTCGTATAGTGATTCTCTGTTACATTGCCCCACACGCATTTGAACAAGCATGCGGGCTTCTGCTCGACGGCGTGTCTGCCTCCACAAGCACGATGATGGCGGAGCATTTCTGATTCGTTTTATTCGGTTCTGGTTTAATGACGCATGCTTGCGTGCATATGCATTGACACCCTGCGTGTCGAACGACAACAGTTCGTTCGCCAAACGTGTGCAACACCCCTCCCTCAGCCAGGCCACAGCCCCTGCAGAAATAAACGAAGCATCATGAAGCTTCATCCCTGTTGTGGCAACTTAAATTAAGTACCTGAACAAGAACCGGCGTCCCTTTTCCGTTGCCCCTGAGCCCCTGAGCTGCTTGCGCAAGACTTTTTCGATCGGCTTGAGGGATGCGTCCTGCCGAGTGAAGCGGCCAAGCTGCCCTCTGCAACAGAGCTGGCTGAGAAGCCGGGAAAAAGCCCGAGGAGCGCCGCGAGGCTTCGTGGCAAGAGCGATCTAGCTGCTGAACTGCTAGGGAAGCTTGATGAAGCTTCACTTGCTGACGGAGTGATCCTGCAGTGAAATCGGAAGGCATGCCGAAGCTTGCCCGCACAAAGCTGAGGCACAGACTGCACCCAGACAGAATACCTGCAGCATCAAACATGCTTCCCGCCCCCTTTTAAATTTAGCATCAAGAACTGAGCACGACTGACGCCTCTCGGACCCAGGCACACCTAAACCGACGCCAGGGGAAAGGCATATGTGGGACCCAGACGAGTGCTGGCTTCGAATGGTGCTTACTGAGGTTCAAGCCCAAGCATCGTTCGAGAAAAAACACAATGTCGGAACCGATAGGAGGAAGCATCGCTCTACTTTCAGACCAGTACGACCGACCCTCATCATGTCAGAGGGAGCGATCCTGATCGTCCCTCGCCGACGCCTGCGGGGAAGCGCCACGAGATGTCCGCATCAACTTCGGAGGCCTGCGCAGTGGACAAAGTCATCGGCTTGGCTCCGAAGGACGATGTGATGGCGTCTTGTGTGCTCAATCCAAGGTCCAACCGTAAACCTCGAGTCCCCGAACCCGTGCTCCCGAAACATTGCCTCTAACCTCCGCTCGCTGAACCCTCGACCTCCCCAACCCCCTTCCATCCGAACTTCCTCCGCAAGCTCGGGCCTTCCCAGGTACAAACCCACGTGGCACACTGCGTTGTAGCGCGGCTCTGGAGGGGCCTCGGTGCCTGCGGAGCTCAGGGATGGCTCCGGGCCTTCGGGATGCAGGCCTTC